TATATACTATCTGAAAAATTATTTTTAATTTCATTCAAGTATATGTAACAAGATGAATTTAATACAATAAACAGAACAATAGAAGAGTGCTTGGTATTATTCCTCGTCCATTTGCTTAAGTGCGCTAATCGCTGATCTCTTTCGGTGTTGAATCTCGATGGGCATTCAGTGGGACTGTGCCCAATGCGTTTAGCTACTGGTGCACTTTTGTTTCAACGCATACACGATAGGCCAACTTCGGCCGCGTAATACATGGTTGCATAATAAATAAATTATTCTTGTTTTCAGTCAAAACAGCTGTGAAGTGGAAGAAACCCCCCAAAAAACCGGTGATGGAACAGAAATCACGTTTCCCAGGACAATGGTCGTTGTTCAATTGTGCAACTAATACACCCATTAATGTGACTTTATGGTTTAAGAAAAACACAACAACTGAAGAGAAACGTCAAGTTATTGGTAAAAATATAATATTGGTTTCTACGAATATATTCAACATAACACGCTTGACAGACAACGATAGGGGATTTTACATATGCAGAGTTTGTGGACAGGAAAAACAGATATTTGTTGAAATATTAAAAGGTAAACTTATTCTTAAGGTAATGCATATTTAATTTATTACCAAAATATTAAATTCCCTGTCTTAGTGCAATACGTACATTATCTACTTGTCAATGTTTTCTTGACGCATATTAAATTTTTGTATATTTACACATGTATTAATTTTATGTATTAATGCACTGATCACTGCAAAAAAAATCCCTGTGTAATTTGGCTCAAAATTTTCAGGAAATAATGCACACACAATGCCTGAAATTTTTCAAACTTAATTTCTTTAGCAAGTAAATCTTTGCTCGATTTAATATTGTAAATTGGATAATTTACACGAAGAAATCAGATTAAATTTTCTTATAAATAAGATTTATTTTCCTTAGATATTTGAATCACATGTAGTTGGTGTATTACTTTCCTCAAGTTTTTGAATGGAGTCAAAATACTTGTTTACATATATACTTTATATGTTAGCAGCCGTACATTTCGCGAACCGATATTATTTTTCTTGTGGTGTTTATATGTTCCTATCGCTTAGCGTATAATGACGAATGGAGACTATATTCCCTTGCTTAGTGTAAACATTAACAATTTATTTTATCTTAACAATTGTTTATATAGTCTATGACAAATATTTAATAACTATAGAATATATTAATGAGAACACAAGCTGCATCCCTCCATGTCAGTAGATGGAAAGTATCAGGATTTCTATATTATTTACTCTATTTGAATACATAGCGCTAATTTGAAATAACATATATGCTATAAATGTACTTGAATCGAACTTGCCCATGTCTCTAAAGTTCTACCTTGTATGTAGTGTCATTCAGATGAAATTTTTTTCCATTAGTATTTATTGATGTAAGAATGTTTGAATTCCTAAACATTAGCATATTTACGTTAATATACTTATCTATTTTCCACAAGTTTCTCAAATAATGGTTGTGACTTAGTCTGCGAGTCTGTGTGATCTTCTTAACGATTCGGTTCTTTGGTTTTGATTGGGATTGACTGCGGGTGGAACTGAATTATCTGTTGGTACTTCTTGCTCTTCTTGGGTTTTCTCAAGATTCAGTAAATCGGGTGGGATGACTTGGAATAGAGACGACCTTTGTTTCACCGTCTTTGAATAGTTAGATACCGTAATCACAGTTCCGTTCTTCTCTTTAACTATAACTTGATTCAGGTCGAACGGTGTGCTCAGCCCTCAGATGTTTAATTTGCTTAGGTGCCGTAGCTAGACCAGGACTACTTGTGCTATTTCTTGTTTAATTGAGCTTTCTCTTGCATGTGATTTCTTGTCAGCATACATTTTTTAGGCCGTTTGCTGTGACCTCGAAAAGTGCCTTGAAAAAGATTTTCATTTCACGTGTCTTGGAACTGAAATATTTTACGGGAACTAACCATAGATATCTTATATACACTAGAAAGCGCATCTCTTTTAGTAAAATTGAAGCCAAGAATATTCCAGCGGTTACAGATGTTAATAGATGGCGGCCATGTTGGTCGTTCCCACTCGCTAATAAACACTTAAAAACAGCAAAAACTTTCATCATTTGAATACTTTAAAAATGTATTTGGAATATGGTTAACTTAATATTTAAATTCCTTGTTTAAGAAATAGGAAATATACGAATCTTCTCTCATTTCAAGGGAACGACCTGAGACTGCAATCACGGCTTCAATTTTTGAATTGCAGAATAATTAGATGCACTATCTAGTGTATATAAGATATCTATGGAACAAACACTTTCGAACACGCAGTTACACGCTGAGTTCAATTCAAAACGTTCCCGCTCTATAGACCTGCAGTTTTCTCACAAACTGCAATTTTATCTTCACTAATTTCACGACAACTTTTTTCATTGTTCAACGACACGGATCGATGACGACAAACGATTATGTCACTTAAAAGGACCAATTTCTATTAACCAGTCTTTCTTTTAACAAAAGACCGGGTTTGCTCGAATCATTTTGATTTATGTACTAGATAAAACATGAGCAGCCGAGTGTATCTGATATACAAACTCGAGCCGAAGGCGAGAGTTTGTATATCAGATACAGGTCGGTTGCGAATGTTCTATCGTCCTTAAAAAATGACCCATCTTATGAGTTCATTGGCGAAGTAATTTTAAAAATAAACATTGTCTAAGCCGAGAAAATCAAAGCCGAAGTTTGGGTAAATCAGGACAAATCTTTATCCCATTTACAAACATTGATTAAACACTCATTTCTTTTGTATTTTCCTCGTGAATTATTAATGAATTTTTTAAGTATAAATATTATGCGTGCTGGGCGTAAACAACATATCTTGTCTACAACTTTGGGAAGGTACAGCTAAAGCTTTCTGAAATCCTTAGTTCTGGCTCTATCTCTACAAAATTACAAGGACGTTAATGGTAAATCTTTTAGCTATGTCTCTGGGCTGAGAAATAATTCTTTATTTGCGATAAAAATGTTTTAAACAACGATGTAAAACGGTAAAGTTATGTGATGGATCAGTATTTAAATTTCCAACACAGTTTCTGAGACGTAATTCAAGAGGCAACTTATGATTGCATTTTAACTATTATATCAGTTGGTGTTATTCTGTGCGATTAGCGAGTATTATTGGAAAGAGGGCTTTCAAATACGTTGTAATCATCCAATAAACAGCTCATGCACACATTTCTCCACTTTGGCACTGATATTTGTCTTTGATGTGAAAATTAATTCTTCTACTTTGAGATTATTTAAGAGTGACCCTGTCGTAAATGTTCTACCAGCAACTCATCGACAATATTTCATTCTAGTGTTGTCTTTGCCGTTCCGTTGGCTTCGCGTTACTTTTCTTTTTAAATTCCTTGATCGCGTTAAAAGAGTTATTTCTCAGTCTAGAGACATAGCCAAAAGACTTAACATTAACGTCCTTGTGATTTTATTGAGATAGAGCAAGAACTGAGGATTCTAGAAAGCTTTATCTGTATCTTCTCAAAGTTGTAGACAAGGTATGTTGTTTACGTTCAACACGCAAAATATTACATAACTCAAAATGATTCGAGCAAAACCGGTCTTTTGTTAAAAGGAAGGCTGGTTAATAGAAATTGGTATTTTTGAGCGACATAATCGTGTATCATCATCGATCCGTGTCGTTGAACAATGAAAAAAGTTGTCGTGAAAGTTGTGGAGATAAAATTGCAGTTTATGAGAAAGCTGCAGGCCTACGGAGCCGGAACTTTTCGGATTTGAACTTAGCGTGTTCAAAAGTGTTAGTTCCCGTAAAAATATTTCAGTTCCAAGATGGATGAAATGAAAGTGAACGATATCGGGACGCAGCAAACGGCCTATTTATCTTGACCTTCTTTTCGGTATCTCTTCATTCTACTTTGTTACGTAAATCATCACTTATTACTTGAAGGTTTGATTCACGTACCGTCATCTTGAGCTTTCTTTGTTTCAAGGCAACAAATGGCGAGATTCCGGTAGTAGAGTGAAGGCTAATTTCGACTCCGGATAATTAATAAGCAGCGGATCCGACCGGATCGGAACAAAACAAATTCCGCGCATGCCGCATCAGTAGAAATTTTTGGTTCCAATTGATCCGGCAACGTTGCTAGCTGGATAATAAAAAGTTGAGATATTTTCAACTTTTTTGGGTCCGGTCCGCGGATTAAACCTGGCTACCAATCAAAATGCCGTATTATCTCACATAAATTGAAATAATTAAATAATACCTGTATTACAAAATCTTGCAGAATTCGAGGGAGAATTTACAAGAATTGGGGAGTAAAACAGCTATTTCAATTAATTTGCTTGGCAACATACGAAATTGCTTTGAAAAATATTCATGGTAACTTTAACTCTTCAATCAATAAGTGGTATTTAATTTTCCATTGTCTTTCCTGGAAAATTTTTCTTATCCAAATGCTCTTTTTGTATTTTTCTTGTTCGCTTATCGTTTGCTGGCGTCGACGTAACCAATTCAGACGAAGGACACGTTTGTTCAGAGCCGCTGCCGTTTTGAAATAAGCGCGAAATAGTAATTTGTGAGACTGGAACAAGCTCCATTTTTTCCTTGTCCAGTCCGATCATTCCACTTGTCCTATTACTGGAAATTGCTTGCTGAATCGGACCGGATCGAAAAAACCTCCAATCCGGTCCGATCCGCTGCTTATTTTCTGGAGTGGAAATTAGCCTTAAGGTGTAGCACGATATTAGCGAAGGGACTTATAAAGATCTTACTTCCAGCTTCTTGCCTGAACCTTTGCAGAACGTATAAATTTTCCAACAGTTCTCATGAAACGCTAACTTCACCATTCGCTTTTGACCAGCATGGCCTAATCCTGCGATGTATAAATGCAAGATATCCACCACAACTTGGCCTTGGAGTCAGTTTTACAGGTTCTGCTGGAGTTGAGATATCCGACATTGAAGCTTGGAAAGGGTTACAATTTCTTATCTTTTCTTCAGTGAGTTTGACTGGGCCAGGGAACCAGAATTTGTCTCATAATAGTATCTTGGTTTTCACGAAGCCTTGGTGCCCAGTGTGTGCGGTTTTGTTTTTCAGCATAGGTGGCATCATCAGTGGCGTAGCCTGTCTGACAATTTAAAATTAGAAATTGGTTGTTTTCACGGTCAATGAACACGAAAATATTTGCATAGCTAGATTAAATCGTCGGGCTGGCTGTCCTACTGGCTATTACGAGACAATTTCCGATCAGGATTGTTTTTTTATGATTAACTGCTAGTTCCTCCTTGAGCTTTGCGTAATTTTGAGCTTCCATAGTCAACATATGACCACTTTCTTTTGGTACTGCATTGAACCATGCATAGTTGATATCTTCTTCTTCTAGATCGGGTATTTGCGAGTCTGACACGTTCGGTTGTCGAATGGTAAAATCTAGTGGATTTTCTTCATTTCTTCCAGGACGATAATGCAGCTCACAATCATTAGGCATTACTATCAATTTTCGTCGATCTATTTGGGTTGACGTATGCTTATTGCTCTTCAAAAGGCTTGTGGTCGGTGATGATGTGAAATTTTGTACCGTAAACGTAAAGTGAAAATGTTCAGCGGCGCCAGATACTACGGCTAACATTTCTCTGTCAGTTTGGGAATATGTTGATTCGACTTGCGGCTTGCGTAGCAGATAACTTTTTGTTCTATCTTGCATTAGTGAACCTCCAAATCCTATCGAGCTTGCGTCAGCAACGATTTCCGTCTCTTTTCTCGGATCATTACGTCCAGCAAGAGCTTGTTTTAAATTGCTAATTGGCAGTAATTTCTCTATGTTCTTTGACGGTCCATTTTCAGGCGACGTTGTTCTTGGCAGGTTGGTTGGCTGGTAGGTAGGTAGGTAGGTAAGTAAAATTTTATTTAAAAACAACACGCTAGCCTCGTCAACTCTCTCTGATTTCCAGGAGGGGTGTGTCCATTGTGTGAATATATAAATATTTACGAAAATCAACCTATTAGTATGGTTATAATAACTATATTTACAATTTATTACAAGAACTTGTGGGCGCTAATTCCACTGATTTTTAAATATCAGCAACGAATCCGAATCCCACAAATCTGGGGTAAGGAATTTCACAATTTCCCCCCATTGTAAGAAAAATTGTTTTCAGATTTTCAGTACGTCTTGAGAAAAGGTGTTTGCAGAGAGGTAGAGGAGTCCAAGAGCTCGTAATCTGTGATGTCACTTTCACGCGTAAAAAAAATGAGAAGTGCGTTTAATTTAAAAGCTGAGACGTTTAATTTAAAACTTTTTACACTGGCCTGTAGGCCAAGTGTCTTAAATCCCTCTTTTTCTGTTTTTTTTTTCCTGGGGTTTTTTTTGTAGTCGAGAAATTGAGTAGGCGTTAGCTCATCGCAGGCTTAGGCTGCAACGTGTAAGCCAAAATGCCTTCGAATCTCTCGGTTCCATGATTTAAATAGTATAGTAATAAGCTCGTATTTATTGACGTAATAGCCGACTCATGCCATGCTTGTGGTACATTTTTCGTTTATTACCCATACACTTGTACGCACGCGCACAATTCCGAACTCCAATGGCGGCTTTTTACAGAGTGATCAAACTATATTTTACGCAGTTTCGTTGAATTTTCAAAGAATTGTGCCGTTTCCTATGGATTTTACGTTGTGTCGTACTCTGGACTTTTTGCGTGTTGAATTAATGTGTTTTTCTTTGTGTAATGACTCGAAAACCACAAAATTTGGACCCAGCGAATTTATACAATATATAGAAGGATATTTAAACAAGGACATGTTAAAGGTTTGACGACTCGAACACCCCAAAATTTCATAAATTTGTACCCAGCGAATTTATACAATATATTGGAATATAAACAAGGACAAACTTTCCTAATTCCTTACGATAGTTTTAGTCAAATGTCAACAATATACCTTTAGATACATGTATTAAAATCCGCGCAGTACTAGAATTAAGAGAATTCGCGTAGCGCTGGCTGCTGGGCGCGGAAATTTTAGTACTGCGCGAAATATAATCCGCGCGAAAAGCTTTGTGGTAGCTATAGTAAAGATAAAGCGTGCGTTCAAAAACGACGCGAATTTTAATACAAGTATGGTATCATATTTCAAAATATAACAAACAATGTGAACTAGCCATATATTTTGCCGAACATAACTTCGGCCCCTTTGGACACTTTTTTTTGGTGGTAATATTATTGGAACCAGAATGGAAAACACTATGTACAGTGTTATTTTCAAGCTTGTGTCTTGAGATTTTCATCATTTATTTCGGTATGTACAGAATATTTATACTTTAACGCAGCCCATGGAACGCACATCAAAACAGCGCGCTGTTTAGGAAAAACCGGAAATCTATTCTGTAGGTCGGCATGATTTGCACGTGCATCGATCGAGCTATAAACGTGGAGCGTGCGTGCGAGTAAAACCCGGATATTTTGAAAAATTCAAAATAAATATAATTATTACTGAATTCTGATCGCAGATTCGATTGGCATCATTGGCATCCATTTTGCATCAGTGAATGCATCCGTCCCGAGTCCTTTTTCGCATGAAATCTAACGTGACATCATCAAATCTATTGTTTTAGAGCCCTATGTCACGTTAGATTTGGCCGCTGAGCGATGCATCGCATGCAGATTGCGGGCGCTCGCATCAGTGCACTGATGCATGCAAATTGCAAACTCAAATCTACTGTGACGTAACGAGGCATTCCATTCAAGTCATGGCGGCAAGGATATGCATATGAGACAAATAAATTCCGGATTAATCCGATCCTTTGCGAAGAGAAATCCCTCGAAATTGACGGAGAACAAATAATTTACAGTCGAACCATAAGATCCCTTAATGGAAGGGATCTTATGCCCACGATGTGAAGCCTGATCGAACCGAGGGCTCTAATTAAGTAGGTTAAATTTCTCTATATTTTTACATTGCAGTAAATTGTTCAGTTCAAGAAGTGTATAAATTGGAAAATGGAGTCCACACTCCACAATTAATGTAGATTTGTATGTAATAACAAAATAATTACAGTGTGTGTATATTACTGTTGTTGCTCTATATTCTAGAAAGACCAGAAAGATGTAAGTGGTTGGGGGGGGGGGGGTAGAGTTTGACATTTTACAGAGGTTTGCGTTTGCTTGTCTGGAGGCAAACCAGCCCCAATACAAAACATGACAGCTTGCTTTACTGAGGCAAATTTCATCTCGGTTTACATGGGATTGTATCCTGTGTAACCTTCATTTTTCTCACAGCTGGCGGGCAAAGAAAAATGAAGACCTGATACACATGTTACTAAATGTTTGTGTCCTACAACTGCCTTTATGGTTGCAACTCCGATTGGCTATTTCTTGCATGAGTATTCATGCCATATTTAATGTATTGTTTTGATAATTGGTTAATGCTATAATTATATAATGATATATTTAGTGATTGTGACTATATTTAGCTTGTTGTTATTATGTGAAATCAGTGGCGGAAACTAGGGAATCGCCCCCCCCCAAAAAAAAAAAAAAAATTACTTGAATTATATTTTAGCTAGATTTCATTTTGAAAAACGAAAGCACAATATAAGGAAGCACTATTTGTTACAATAACAACAGCAACGAAATGGCAAGTCTTAATAAAAACAAGCTAAAACAAGCTAAAGTATTCTAAATTTATAATCTCGCAAGTCACATAATGAGCATTATGAATTCTGAAAAAAAGTAAAAAATCCGAGTAGCTTCTACAGTTAGTTATCATTGCATGTACCAAATTTGAGAAACGTAACTAAAAAATTGAGTATGCTGTGGCAATTTTTCTGAAACAGGAATCTATCATATGATGTAACCTTAATCGTGTCCAGTTACGTCAGTATATATGCTCTAAATTTTTGATATACATGCATATATAATATAGAGTATCTTCAGAGTGTTCATAAAACAATAGCAATTAATTGTATCAAATTTACTACGGACTATACAGTATCTATATAGGTAGAAATTTTCAGGTGTTCTTTCACTTCTTTGTTTTAGTGAAGTAACTGTTACATTGCAACAGTTGCGTGATAACGCTTCTAAGCAGGTCGATTGACATTGCTATGGTGTCGTTTGTGCAATAACAATCTTATTATCACCATATAAGGTAATAGGACTGTTCAATAATCAACAACAGAACTGCGTATAGACTGCTCAAATTTTGATACAGCGCATTTGATTTAACGTTTCCAAGGTGACGCACTTAGCGAATAAATTTTACATTGTCATTGGTTATTAATTAAACCACCTTGCAGTTCCATTCACAAATGTAATTTTGAAATCATCTAGAAAATATTCTCTGAACGTCGGTTTTTTATGCTTAGCACATGATTTATACCAAAATGCACCATTAACTTAATGTTTTGGAAACCTGGAATTTCTCACAAAATGTGCTCTCAGAATGCTGAAAATGCCAAGAATCCAAATTTAAAAAAATTTTCTGGGGCGGGCATGCCCCCAAAATTTCGCAAAGTTTCCGCCACTGTCTGAAATTGACATTTCTTCTGGCACATTTTGATTGGATACCAAAAATAAAACTATAGTGTGGGTGGAAAGTAACTCTGAATGGATCAAGACTTGCATCAGTGTATATGTAATTACAGAGCATAATTACAGGTTAATGAGATTTCTAATAGTGATGCAACATTGGTTAGAAGACTAAGGGGGAGTTTACATGAAAGGTAAATGCTTCAAGTTGCAACTTCCAGTGGTATCTCCTATTTCATTTCATTTTCATTTTATATGGAAATGACCTGGCATGCCTCAGGACAGGGGTCTTGCTTTGCATTGCCTGAGTTATTGGGCAATTACTGTACACTATCTGGATATTTTGCAAACAAAGATGATTACCTGGGCTTGCTCAATGCTCGCCTACCATAGTTGAGTGTTTATGTGCTTTGTCTGTGCAAATACAATTTGATATAAGCTGTATATATCATATGACATTTTCCTGACAGGTTTTAATCCGAGAATGATAAAATGATGGACGGTATAAATACTGTATATACTGTAACTGGTGAATACAGGTTATAATTATGAAATTTGCTCAGAAAAGTGGGATAGTTTGGAAAACATATTTAATTAAATTATATATTTGTAGTGCTAATTATCCCAGTATTATGTTTTGGATAGCCAGCATGCCACCCTGAGGAGTATACGATTACCATTGATAAGTGTAAGGATATATTTGACAAGATGTGCATTTATATAATAACATAGGAAAAATTAAATATTCAGCAATACTATTGTGCAGCCATTCTATATTGACAACATCTTAAAGGAGTATTATATTAATATTAGTTGAAGGGCAGGCAAAAGGGGACAGATAGAAGACATATGATTAAATTATGTCATGTTTATCATTGTACAGTTTAGTATTGGTTTATTTAACAAACAATTTCCAACTAAGATAGCTTCATTAAATTAATTTACACACAATTTTCTATTGATTTAAAACGTGTGGTTGTGTGTGTATCTAGTTATATATTTATATAATTTTAAACCCAGTGTTTGTTGTGTGTTAGTTTACTGGTTTCCTGGCCACAAGGCAATATTCTCAGTATTCAGAGTGTGGGCTATTCACCATGCAGTTCGTATCAAATGCAGCTAGGGGCGAATGAAATTGACCAACTGATGCCAACCACACTGTCCATGCATGAGTAAGATTAGCAGCATACGACAGAGTTGCATATATTTACCCACTAAAGCACAAAATACCTTTATGCACCATATTTTATTTTATTTTATTTTAAATTCTAATGCTAGAAGATTTTGCTCATGGAACATTGGAAATTATTGGAAATTAATAGGGGAAGGTGGTTCATAAACAACATAATAACACTGTCTTCTGAGTCCAGCAATGCAACTAGTGGAGCACACTGTATACACTTTTGTTGCACAGTATGTGTGTATTTGCGTTGTCGTGATTTTCTGCCGAAATGTTTTTCAATAGAAAAGTTATGGCTACAAGAAACACTGTACTGACTATTTTTTATTAGAGACATATTGCCACAGCTGCTATTACACTTGTACAAGCAAATATTTTTTTCTGATATGGAGAAATTATGTTGTTTTTGCGATATAGGTTCAAGTTTTTTACGTGTTTTTCCAAAAATACAGCAACATTTTTGTGACTCTGATATATGAATTGGGACAAAAGAGTTCGCTCAGAACGCAGGAAATCGCATTTCCGAGGTCCTAGAATTCAAAATTTCCCGGGGGAGGATACCCCCGGAACCCCGCTACAAATGTGAGGCCTTATGTATGCATCAGTCACCTCAGGAGCTGGATCCGCCCCTGATATACCAGATCTTATTAATAATAACTAGTTAACTGCGTATCCGAATCTTACTGTAGCATCATTCTAAAATTAGGAGGCACCACCTAGTCTAGGGGGTCCGGGGGCATGCCCCCTGGAAAATTTTTAAAATTGAACCCCGGAAACGCCATTTCCTGCATTCTGAGCATCGAATTCTGTTCTAAAATTTGACCTTAATAAGGCCATATTTTAGACAAAAAGTTACAAAAACACGTAATAACAGTAAAATGTTTAAACGACATACCAAATCATACCAAATCTAGATTCTTAATTACTATATACTAAGACTTGCCTTCCTCCCTACATTAATTAATATGTAATTTAATATTATACCGCACATGTGTAACATATATAAACACAATTGCAATCAATGCATAAAATCAATGGACAGAACGATGTATAACGCAAACAGACACATTTATACACTGAAAGAACGCTTCGCGGGATTAACAGAGATTCAACCACCTAAATATACAAGCCAAATTTCGAGGTTTTGCTTGTATTTTTCAGTTACGGTTTGCTTGTATATTTCAGTAATTCAGTAACGTACTCTATCTCTCAATCCGAAGCTTTGTGTTGTTATCATTTATCAGTGTGGAAAGTTTGTATCGTGCGGCGGAGATATCGGCAGCGCAATTTTGATGCTTTCTATACATTTACTATTAAATTTTCGAAATCTCCGGCGCGCAATTTCCAAACACTCTCACAGAGCGTTTGAGATTACATTTATATTCTGTTTATTAATATATTCTAATATTCACAAGCTTACCTGAGCGGAACGTGGTTCAACGAGCGCTCTCTTTCAGCGTTTCGAATTGTAATTTCGAAAATTCACACACAAATACCTCGCGATCTTTCAGGCGATCGGCTTTAACTTTACTCCCGATGGCATCTTCACATAGGCATAGCGCTTTAGTCGACTTAGCTTTTTTTTAAAGAAATTTGCTCGTTAACTAGCGCAAACAAATATAGTCAAATAACATCGCTCTAAAGTTCATATCGAATTGCGCAACTGCAACTCACTGTAGCGCATTGCAGCACTGTGATTGGTTTGCTTCATCTGACTGTAGCAAAAATGCTAAATTTAGTACCTGGTCCCCCCCCCCCAGCTGAATGTAGCATTTTGACGTCAGACCCCCAGTTGACTGTAGCATTTTGACGTCATAAATCGCTATAATTATATATAGACCACTTTTCTGCACTCTTTTTGAACAATGTTTAAAAAAAAATAGGTGATTTCCCTTAAAAGCGGGCGTTAGTTCGGGTAAGAATCAGGTCGAGATAAGCGCGTAAAAACGTAACTTTAGATTCGTAGCTCACAACATACGTACAGGCATCTGGTCGAAGCTGCGAAAGTTAAAGTTTTAGGATAGAGAAACTGGAAAACTTCTATTAAGAATTTTTACTATCACCACATTCTGTATTAAAAATATTTTTGCAGCAAAATCTGACTGTAGCAATTGCTACAGTTGCTACAGTCTGGATCCGCCCCTGCACTGCACTAAAATGTAGAGCAATGAGCAACCTATTATAATTTATTGATAATCTAACCGCATGCTTTGTTCTCCAAATAAAGACTTGACCGTATCCATGTATTCACTAAAATATAGAGATACTGCACCTTTAACACTATGACACTAATTTAATATATTAAGCCTAAGTCACTGTATGCTATTGAGAATAAATATAGATCTATTAATTAATATGGTAGTTAATATGTTAGTTCGGGTAAGAATCAGGTCGAGACTGAAGCGCGTAAAAACGTAACTTAAGATTCGTAGCTCATAACATACGTACAGGCATCTGGTCGAAGCTGCGAAAGTTAAAGTTTTAGGATGGAGAGACTGGAAAACTTTTATTAAGAATTTTTACTATCACCACATTCTGTATTAAAAATATTTTGCAGCAAAATCTGACTGTAGCATTTGCTACAGTTGCTACAGTCTGGATCTGCCCCTGCACTGCACTAAAATATAGAGCAATGAGCAACCTATTACAATTTATTGATAATCTAACCGCATTCCTTGTTCTCCAATGTTCTCCAATGTTCACCGTATCCATGTATTCACTAAAATATAGAGCTACGCACCTTTAACACTATAACACTAATTTAATATATTAAGCCTAAGTCACTGTATGCTATTGAGAATAAATATAGATCTATTAATTAATACATCGTATCCATGATGTTTGAAAGGCATGGCTTAAAATTTGGACGGGTACCCTGCAATCGCTCCGGAATATATTGCAATGTTTGTTCACAATAACGGAATAAAAAACACGGAAACTTTCAAAGAGTTTACAGAAGCAAAAAAAAATAAAAGAACTGCAAAAAAGAGTTACAAAAGCGAGAAAAATAAGTGGGAAGGCGAATATAACTGAACAAGACGCTCTATGGAGCGTTAACTCGCTGGGGCTATACAAATACGCACATTACTGTATATGATGCCAGATACAGTACACAGCTATTTCAATAGACCTTTCCTTAAGTAAAATTTTAATCTAGACTAGCGTGGACAGAAATTTCATCACAGCTTGAAAGAACATTGTAGAATTAGTAATATTCCGAAGTTTCATTGCAATGCGGATAATATAGCCATGCGAAGTTTGCCGTTTTTCAGTCATTTTGTATTACAAATGGGATATTGATCATCAGTTTTCCTTATCTGATTATCAATTTTCCGTTTGTAATGCAAAATGACTGAAAAATGGCAAACTTCGCAAGGCTATAATTATTATCTACATTTTACAACTTTTTTGCAACGAAACTTCGGAATATTACTAATTCTGCAATGCCCTTTCAAGCTGTGATGAAATTTTTGTCCAGGCTAATCTAGATCAAAATTTCACTGAAAAATGGAAAGGTCTATTAAGATCTAAGCCTGACCCCAAGCTAAACGGAAAACTCGAATACAAGAGAAGTGAGACGAATCCACTGGTATACGGCCGAAAAAGAGAAAACCAACGATACCAAAGTTATCAAGGATCAAACATATTGCATTTTTTATAATTTGAGGTTTGAGCGATTTGTCGACAAATAATACAATTTCGCTTGGCTTTCAAAGACAAAGGCCATAAATCGCTAGAATACTGTTGTCAGTTGTTTAGTAATACATTTGACACCCGTAGGTACAATTTCCCATTCGTATATAAGTACAATTTCTTACGCTGAATCGAACGGTGGTATTTTTATCCTTATTGCGCCCGCCATTATATTACTTATTAGGCACTTTTAATTTAAATACAAGCAAGGTCAAATACAAGGTCGGACAAACGGCGAGTTAATTTGTCAACATTACAATTTCGCTTGATTTTCAAAGTCCATAAATCGTTAGAATACTGCAGTTGTTTAGTAATACATTTGGCATCCGTAAGTTCAATTTCCCACGCTGAATCGAACGGTGGTATTTTTATCCTTATTGGCTATTGCGCCATTAAATTAATAGGCATTTATACAAATACAATATCATATTTCACACTGTCACTGAGTACACTGCAGTTTTCACGGACTGTTGTTCGATAAAATTCATATCGATATGACACCAATATGCTTCTCAGAAAGTAGTTATTTATTAAAACTACGTTGTGCAGTTTAAGTTATAACATTTTACCCTGAAATTGTCTTTGGCTCGTTTATATTCAGATTGATATTATGATCGGGCACCGCCGCACGGGAATTCCACGATCCAAATTTCGAATTTTCAGAGCCGTGCACCAAGAAAAATGCATTAAATAAACTACCAAGAATGTCCAGGGTTAGTCACAATCCAAAATCCATAAAAAACAGGTACAAATGGTTCAAAATTTTTACAAAATTGTTTAAAACATTTTGCCACTCCACGAAAGTCCCCGCCATTTTGAAAAGGATCAAGCAGCTCATTAATATTCTATTTTGTGGCTATCGACGATTGGAGATCCATGATCCGTGACAAATGCAAGCCGAAACCTATACTCGTCCGGGGCACAGGTGCCCCAGCGAGTAATAAAATATGTCAGATGTGATCACCAAACAAGATATGAAGCAACAATGCAGTGTTTCCACTCCTAAAAAAATAATTTCCTTCTCCATATCTCGAAATTTCCTTTTCCTCCGCAAAGTTATCCTTCCAAAAATATCCTTCCATTTTTCCTTCAAAATTTTTATGAAAATTGACAGATTTACCTGGTAATTAATATCTAAACTCTAGTATTGAAACATATTACATTAATATATAGCAGATAACTCTGTATTTTGCAGCTACAATCTTGGACAAAACCCTTGAGACCATTGCAGCTAATATTACAAAGTTATTGAACATTGACAAAACAAACTTTGTCTCCCCTT